ATTACCAATTACGTGAGACCAGAAAGAGACGGTACAAATATAGTCAAAGAAGAATCGTTTGCGGAAAAAAATGACCGAAGGAGCCACCTCTGGCACAATAGAGCTGCTGGCTGGATGTTCAGATTCATCGCCAAAAACAGTAATGGGCAGGATGACGGATTAGCACTTCGAAAAATGAAAGAATGGCCTACTACAACCGCCGATTTTAAATGCTCTTAACGAAAGGACAAGCAGGCATTGAGTGTTAAAAAGACGATAAATTGTCAATAATTTGACCCCCCCCCACTCTTCCATTGCATCACCCAAGACGAAAAAACAGATGTGGGCGCCGAAACGATGTTTTGTAATTCTTGTGAAGTAGTTTTATCATCAAGGACACTGACGTTAGATATACTAACACGACGGTGGCGTTAATTTTGAAGGTAAAATCGCCACCATATTAGTTGCGCATCGGCAGTGATGATGAAGGTTCGACCATCAATTTTGATGAAGTCTACTATGTGTTCCAAACAGGTTGGTGTAAGGAAAGTGATTGAAGACAGAGATTCGTTTTCAGTGAATGTGGACTTCGCAACTGTCTACCGCGATCTACGCCTTCACCCGCCTGAGCGAGTGACAAGACAGAGTAAAGATGACCGAACGGGATTCAGCGTTGGCCGCCGTTTGCAGGCCAGAACACTGCTTGATTTAGTCTCAGTGACAGTAGACTTTCGCGCTGGTACTACCGCACTATCTAAGCTCACCCATCTTCAGCCTTCACTCTAGAATACCAACACTGACACTACTAATAAATACTGATGCAACTGAATGACAGTAGTACTAAAAGTATTGCTGATGCTAATATTAGTCAGAGGTGCCGTTTATTAAAGTCAACGCTGTGGCTCATGTCCCCTCGATCTCAACAAGGCGTGCGAATCTAGATTATGCTATTTCGAGTAGGGCCCGGAGCACATCAGGCCTTACCTTAGTTTCCGCTCTCTCACTTTTATCTACCCAACTGTGGCAGTTGCTACTAACTTTGGACTAGAATACTGCGGCTAGAGGTAATATGCCAATGTCAAGAGTGTTGATTCCAGTTATCACACTTACTAAGACTAGTACAAAGTATACGTGGGTGCATGTAGGAACTCGCCACTTAGTATGCAGTCCCAAGCTATATTGGGTAAATAATAAAACTGAGTTAAAGAAACGGGATTAAATAATAGCTGAAGCTCTACCATGCCTTTATATCGCAACGCCGTCTTCAGGCTAACCTTATACTTAATACAGTATCTAGTTTGCTACAGACAAAGCATTATCGTAGCCTTTAGCTATGACCGGCGGAACACAGGCGAGAGAGGGGGTAAGCTAGCGAAAGGATGAGAAAATATGGACAGCAAAAAAAACCCTCAATACTGGTAACGGTAGGAAACAAAACTGACTGGGATTGTGCTACGCTGAACGACCCAAAAGCTAAATTGCAACTATTATATGTCGTGTTACTGGGTGATTACTCAGTCCTCCGTTCATTTCAGTCTTGTTTTGAAAAACACGAAGTGCCACAAAAAAACAGCCACTAGCTGGTATT